CCCCCCCTCCCCTTTCTTCCCCTCCCCTCTCCTCTCCCTGGGCTCTCTACGGTGTCTAATTTTTATCAAAAGGAGACAAACTGTCGCCGTCGGTGTCATTAAGGCCGTTGAGAAGAAGGAGGGTGGCTCCGGCAAGGTCACCAAGGCTGCCCAGAAGGCCGGTAAGAAATAAGCTGGTTCTGAAGGGTGGTGATGATGTTGTGATGATGTTTTCATGATTACAAAATATGGAATTACGGAACTAGACTTGGGTTTATGTAGTTGATCCTACAAAACTTGAATCATGAATCATTTCGTTCAATTTGCCCGATTGCGTCGTAACAATTATCCTTTAGTGTAGTGCAGGTTTTATCAAGCTCAGTTTTGTCCTGGGTCATCCGATTATCTTGACTGCGGCATGTCTGTCGGAGCAGGAGGGATAGAGAGAGGAGAGGCGGCGGCGGCACGGGCAGCGGTGGCGAGCAATTTTGGCATTAACTAGGCAAATCGCGGACTCGTCTGGCAGGTTGGGTAAGAATACACCTCAAGTTGGGTCGGTCTTGATTCCTGAATCCAGGAGGCTGGTCATCGGTTAAGCCAGGCGTCTGGCTCCTGGGCGATAGCACTGGCGGCTGGCGAGTATGAACGCGATGAGCTATGTAACCGGTGTTGAAAGTTGTGGTGGACTGTGGATGTCCGGTGTGGTCCGGTTGACTCGACGGTGCGGTGCTTTCTGTTCCATTCCCGCCCAGATACTGGCTAATTTCATGATGGCTCTCTTTCCTGGGATACGAGCACCGAATAACACGCGGGTCATATGTGTGGGTTTGCCACCGAGATATTAATCTTGTGGCGGCGGTCGCTACGAGCTCTTTGATCTGCACCATGCTCGCTTGCTGCGGGAGTGTATGGTCAGCCTTCGATACGACTCTGTACGCAGGAAGCAAAATGGTGGTTTCCTCCAGTTTGATCGACTTGGTTGACTCTCGACGGTTGGATTGGGTGGACCGAGGACAGCGGCGGTGCTTTAGAGCTTTGATGCCAAGGTGCGTTTATGCATCTGGACATTGTGTCAAAAGTGCTGGAGAAAGGAGTCGATGTTTTTAGCAAGGTTTGCTGCTGGCCTGCAGTGTGCAGTGGTAGTTCAGCGACATCTCCCGTCCTTTTTTCGGGATTCCCGTGGAGCAACGGAACCTGAAGAGGCGCTCTCACTCGGGCATGCTTCATCCCATGTCCTGTGTTCCTTCGTCCGGGGCTGTCAGGAACATGCGAGCTGGGGTTGCATTGCCGGCGGGACGTGGAAGGAGTCAGCATACATACTTAGCACTTACTGGCAGTCTCTGTCTCGTTTGCATTTCTGTTACAGATCCGTAGGATTGGTTTTCTTGGTTGCTGCTTGAGTACACTGTTCTCCGGGATCATTTAACCATCCGCACCTTCAGTCCTTTCCGTGTGCTGGATAAACTCGCGTCTTATGTCGCACCGGCTCCTGTTCTGCCCACGGGAATCAATGCTGCAGTGTCGATTCGATATACCCCTCTGTCTGGGTGACCTCACTGTGGTCCCTCCCAAGGGCTGCGCATCGTGGTTGTGTCTTGAATCTTGGGGCTAGGTGGTGTCTCTATTTGGTCGATCTCAGACGCATAGCTCCTCGATTCGTCCGTGTTGGCTTGGATGGGCTATAGTGTCATGCTATACAAGCTATATATCCAATAGCCCGGCATAATGGGGTTGTATCGGCCTGTATCTCGCACCCACCCATCGTTGAAGATGATTCGCATATACTCGCTATATCTATAAGTCTCAAATATTGAGTGCACCGGTGATTCTCGGTTGTTCGACCATGCTATACTTTTTGTTTAGTACTGACCCATATCGACGCAACGTTGATCTTCGAGGCCCATAGTTGCACTTCTCTCACCAGGTTCAACTGCTTCATGTAGCAAATATGGGAAACATAGTTCATCTACTCCCCCGATGGTCTAGTTGGTTCATGGCGTTCGGCTGTAATGGAAATTGTGACCGAAAAGTCACCAGTTCGATTCTGGTTCGGGGGATAAGAACTCCTTTTTTTTTATCCTTGAACAAATACCTTTTTGAGGCACTTCCCTGAGAACATGTGGGGTTCTACGGTCCATATTCCTCACGCCTCGCGAGGAGCCTCGCATTTCCAGCGAAAGGACCGGTTGCGCAGTCCAGTTTTGTCGGTTCCTCAATTGGTCTAGCTGTCACCTTGCAACACGGGGTCAAGCCACGGGCAATGCGATAAGGCAGCGGGAAATCCAAATTTCCGCAGCGGCTCAGGCCAGTGAAAACCGAGACAATGGATTAGACGAGGGTCATGTACAGTACAGTACCATTGAGCGGGCTCAGGGCGGACACCGGCCCCGTGCTCGTAGATCACTGCATGCCTGGATGGAAACCAAGCGCCACGGTTGTCAGTCTATGCAGCATGCGCCGGGGTTTCGAGCTCGAGGGTTGTCTATCCTGCATCTCAAATATGTGCGAAGACTTTCGTTATAGACGCTTATTGGCATGTTCGTGATGTAGAGTTTATGCAACTCATCTATGATCTGGCACGTGGGAGATAAGATTATCTGCATACTTGCTTCCGCCGAACCTTAAACTATGCGTTGCGTGTACTGCGTATCGATATGCCCCATTCGTGGTTGCTGGGTCATTATATTCGAGCGGCTCTTGGAGTGACGATGTGGGCAGCAGGTACCATGAGCACCCGGAGTGCTCGCATTCCGGGGGTACACCATATATTGTACGCTGAGCTGGGCGAATGGGTGGTTTTCGGCTGACTTGACAGCTGCATCCCTTGCGTGCAGCATGCGTGACTCTGGCCGTGCATGGCATGGTAAGACAGACGTCTATTGCCCGGACTCTCCACCAGGCAAGTAGGTCTCTTTTCACTACTGCTGTACTCTGTTACGAGAACAAGTTGTCGGAGAGGAGGCAGGTGGACTCAACGAAATCGAGTTAGGAGGCAATCGGGCTAACGAAGTGCAAAAATAGAAGTCCCCCGAACCAGAATCGAACTGGTGACTTTTCGGTTACAATTTCCATTACAGCCGAACGCCATGAACCAACTAGACCATCGGGGGCTTTGCTGATTATTTTGCTAAATTTGCATTATGTAGTAGAATATCCATGTTGTGCTGCATATCACCAGCGACGCCATAGGCAGCCCTGAGTGTTTTCAAGGGTATTTATTCGGGTAGTCAAATAACGTCGTCAGCCTATGACATGGTCAGTTCGAGTGCCCGGTACGGCCAATACATTTACAATCATATAGGTGTCGACTATAAGAATTCCACTCAATCGTTTCTGCTCCCCTGCACAGATTGATGGGCGTTGAAATCGACTACTTGTTACCGTAAGTGACTGCCTCTGCCACTCATCTGTTTTCCGACCAGGAAAGATTTGAAATACCTTGAGATTTATATATACCCATTTCATACATTTCTCTGGTGCTTTCTTAATCTATCAGCTGAGCTAAAGAATCCAATGGACCGGTTCTGCTAGGCAGCAATGACGTGGTTTTATCGCCACCGATGAAATTAAATAAATCTGGTGGACACATCGAAGCATCTATTATGAATGGTGTACCCTATATGATATATCCTGATCGGTGGTATGGCGGCCTAAAGGTCGGTTGGATGTGCGTAGAATTGAATTCTATGCATCTGTCAACCCTGCATGCCGGTCTCGTTCACAACCGCCATCGGCACTTGTAAATACATAGGTCTCTGCATTTTCTGTATCAATCGGCTAAAGACCATAGAAATGACTTAAGGGTAGAAAAGCTTGCTAAGATGATGTTTCTACCATACAGTACTGTGACCCTGTGTATATAAGATATGTTTGTGAGCGCATTCCTCCGTCTCCATTGTTGCATGTTGACCCTCCCTCGCTCCCGATACTTCTCCTGGTCCTCTGGAGACATAGTCGTTCTCCAAGCTTTGTGGTAGAGTCGCTGTGCTTCCAGTCGCTCCGCTTTTGCCTGTGGCGATTCTTTGCCTGTGGCGCTCAGATTGGGTCTCTTTTGGAGATCGAGCTCGCCAACCTCACCCGCTTCGTTCATCCCCAGCTTCTCCTCGAGCTCCTCCTTCAGCTGTTTCTCCGTCGCTGCCACCGCCGCTGAGCAGGGGCCGGGGAGGCATGAAGCCTTAGTCTTCCGTTTCGGGGCAAGCGAAGCGGGTGGTTGTCCATTTTTACGTATGTCCATGTATCGGGTTATCTTGTTATTCTGGTATTCTTTGGCCTTTGACCTCTGCTTGTTCTTCCCGGGGCATCTCTGGGTCTTCAAGAGACAGGAATGGGTGCAGGCTCCATTCCAAGTGTAGACCTCGTTGGAAGGACCATACACGCAAGCAGATTGTAGGTCGGTATGACGACAGTAAGCCCCCGGCATCCCCGCAAAGACTGCCTCGACGAGGAGACAGTCTAAGCGAATTGGCTCAATGTCCCCATCGTTCTGGGTCCATGGTATCTCGAGGAGGGTCTTAAATTACACCGAGCGTTGAACTGCCGCCGCGAACATTATCATGATGTGGTAGGAATTTTTCTCTTCTCATTGCAGCATGTCAGCCAAAGTGATCTCCAGCCTAGAGAAAACCAGTATGCACGACTTACTCCTTCCCACTCGGGGCCATGTGTCGCGTCTTTCGTCCAAGGAGTCCCGATGCCGGCTCCGTGGCCGAGCCCACGTACACCCAGTGGGGCTCTGCGAGGACTTGTGTGCTGCCATGCGAATAAACGAGTTTCAAATACACCCCAGCATTCTCGGTCTGCTTTCATTCGAGTGCCATCAGCTCCTCGTAGCGAGGGGTACCTCCCGGTCCAACAGCTCCTTCACAGGCGTCGGCGTGTACCTTGCCATCAGTCTTGCGAACTCGACATCTTTCACATTTCTCAACGTTTCGAGCCACATCTTCGTCATCGGGAGGGCTCTGATTTTAGCCAGGGTCAGGACGACCCGGCTTTGGAAAATCTTGTATGTGTTATCCATCTCGGAACGGTCTCAAATTCGTAGTTGCGGATGTGTACTGGCAATGATTCTGGGCTATGTCCTTGTTTTGAGAGTGCCAGGTGGTTTGGAGAAGGGGTGGACAGAGTTTTGTTGCAACAAATCACAGTGTAAGAGGCTGGGTGTTGGAATGTGTGTTACTTTTCATTTACTGGTGTTTGTGTGGCAGGGGAGTTGGGGGGGGGCTCTTTCATGCTCTCACAATGTGTGTTGGTATTTCTTGCGGTTCTGTACTAACCTACTCCGGAAGATAAGAGAACAGTAATGCATCCTTACTAGACTGTGAAAGTAGAAGAGACCCCATTACACTCTATTTTGTCCGGATGGAACATAGCCTGGGTGAATGGTGGTTGAAATGCATGGTTTTGTGAATCTCTGCACACTATAGAATTGACTTGTATCTAATGTTGGGAGTGAAAGAGCTGGCTCTCTTTTCAACTCCAGTCTAGGAGCCCACATTTAATAGAAATATAGGAATATGCGAGTACTACGGTAGGTATACTCGTGCAAATAAGCAAAGGGTTGGGAAGCAAATCAGCAGCAAAGAGAAGCCTGATCTTGAGGCTCGGGCTCTCCGTTGGCTATATGGCTACAGTTTTTGTTTGCTGTTCGCTAAGGGCCAGCATATACGACCATTGACACCAACAGTCTCACAATTTCCAAGATGGTTTATGAATGCGTCGGTTTATTAAGATTCTATTATGGTCTACCCTGATACTCTTTCGTCAACAGGGGCATATCAGACCCCGTGAAATACAGGAGGCATAGAATCCTCGTATGTAGATTTCTGTAGAATCTCCAACTATATACATATCCTATCCTCCTTAACATTGACTACGAAGGCTTATAAAGTCATATACTGCACCATCTGTGGAGAATGCTAGGAGGACGAGCAGCGGTAAGTCTTTGTCAACAATCTCGAACCATATTATAGACATCTGTCTATTGAAAGAGTATGTTTACAGGCGGTTCTAGAACAAGTCCACGATACGATGACCCTATAACTTGAATCTCCCCTCTACCAAGCTAATCAGCAGGTATACAGTTATAGTCCCAAGGTATTGAATGGGCAGTCACGCCCGAAGATCCCTGGTTGAATTGCCCACAATAGTTCAATCTGCTACCGGGGCCTATGGTTGCAGGGTGTTTACCACGCGTTGCAATCAGGCAGGCAACTTCAACAGACTCGAGTGGGCGCCAGCCACGGCAATCAAGTCCGTGGCGAGCATAGGTCTCTTGCTTACCATATTAATATACAAGACCACTTCGTGATGTGCTCCTACGCTCATTAAACGGCACTTGGCCTGGAATAACAAGGCTGGCAATTCATGTGGCCCTGGGTATCAGTTTTCACTGCGTGCTCGAGGGCAATCACACCGGGTTGAGTAGAAAGCGTCTACCGGTCGTCTTGGGCTGATATTCGTTCTCTCTGCGAAGCAGATTGAGACTTCACGAGTGTCATGGCTTCTAGCCTCGGAGAACACCTTTCTGTTCTTCATATCTATCGAGCTAAGTCTCAACAGAACTCGATGGAACCAAACAACAAAGCATGTTCGACCTGGCCGCTGCCGACGAAATGGCATCATCCGATAAGAGGAGCCTGAAAGTACCTTTCGGGATGGGCTTCACCAGACTCTTGTCTGGGACCGATCCTGGGACGCCCGCTAGGTGATTATTCACAAGCAAGGTCATGACGCCTGTCATATGGTTTATCATGCAGAAGGAAGGGCCGCTTACTCCAACGGTGATGGCTTGTGAGAGGGTCCGCACCTTCCGTAAGCCGCTGGCCGCGCATATGGACCCGCGCTGTAGTCCGTGAAGAATCGACCTCGACATGGTCCACCGCAGAGCGGGCCCTGGCTCGGCTATTTTGACAGACTGTGTTTCTCTTATCATCTGGGCGACCTGTCTTGCGACGTCCAGCTTTTGTGTATCATTGAGATTATCCCAGCAGGTATCGGGAGGGCGGCCGTCGACATCACCAGGATTTATCCCATGGTACCGAAGTATTTTGTGTCGTCTGGGTCTTGGATGTGACGATGGACGCGTGGAGCTCGGATTGCGGGCTTTGAGGCAACGAGGTTGAGGGTCTCTGCCTCAGAAGTTAGCACGTTGCCGCCACGTTTCATAGCCAGGTCTTTAAATAGTCGCAACACGGCCGTTTGATCGAGGATATACGGAGTCGGCGTGGTGTGGAGGAGGTCGGCAAGAGATTCGTCGGAGACAGATTGGATGCCCACACCAATCAACGGAGATATCCTGTTGTCATCACGGCTCGCTTGCTGATATGATACTGGGATGAGGTCAGTGATTGGTTATCGACAAGCTTCTCCTACCTTTACCTGAATGAAAGGCGTGGAGATGCTCCGCATATTCGATTTGTGTTTCTTTTGTGGAGAGACCGTGGCTTGAAGAGCGAGGAAAGCATCCGATCTGGGTTGGCGGCCAAGTGACAAGGATGTTTTACCACTGTTGTTTCACCAGGGAGCGGGGTGGTCTCAGAGGCCATAAATCCAGCACGATGTGAGCCCCATCGAGGCATCTAAAGGAGGGAATCTCTATTTGGTCGGCAGCCCCTGAATTTCCGTACGGGAGTGACGTGGTTCTTTCCTCTTATTGTAGGTTTTACTTCTAGCTTGATATCGACGTGCGTTTTGCTGGTCATGAACAAATGCATCAACATTGTGATCATTTCGGCCTTTTTAGTGTAGAGAGTGTTCCCAGCATAGTGCACACGGTGGTAGTGCTTTCTCAGGACATTGCATGTGGCTGTAATGAAAATGGCTCGGCTTCGAGGTGTTGTTTGTCGAACCGTCTAAAGGCGGATAACCAGGGAGGAGGGGGGGGGGAATGGAGTGGAGCAACAAAAAAAAAAAAAAAAAAAAGAATTGGGGCAAGCCGGGCTTGAACCGGCCACCTTCAGATTACTAGGGACATCCTTGCGGATGAAACCTGCGGCCGAAGTTAATGCTTCAGTCTGACGCGCTCCCAGATGCGCCATTGCCCCGAATTGTTGAAATATGCTCTTCTCTTCCAAATTATATAGGCCTCAACCTCAAACATTACCAACAGCAACCAACATCCTCAGGGTAATGTTCTACGACAACCACGCCATCTTATCAATCGTTTGGGACCAGTCATCGGTTTTCTCCTGCTCTACAAGCTTTACAGCCATGGATTAATGTTAGACTGGCTTTACTAGTGTCTTTTGCTAGGACTGATCGTCTGTGTGTTTCTGATCATGACCTGAAGTTCTGCTGGCATACTTCGATACTGTAAGTATCGTCCCACGGTTTCAATGCCCTGGTGCATCAATTGATACAATGAATCGGCATTTCATTGTCCGGCACTTCATTGTTCGGATGACTCCAGTTTATTGACTACCTTGTTTTGGCTTGGTGGATATGACTGTCTGTTACGACAATGATTAATGGGTTGAGTCCTGAGGAAGCGGAGGGGATGCGTGAAGGCGGCGTGCAGTGGCAGATCTTGACCGGCACCGGAGGCTATAAGCCCTACCCGTTCAGTTAGTCACCCGGCTCACTAGCCGGCGAAGGGTAACATGAAAAAAGAGCCTCCACTTCCACATCCGCTCCTGGTTAAGTCAATGGGGCTGCTAGGAGGCAATAAAAAAGGAAACATTGGGGCAAGCCGGGCTTGAACCGGCCACCTCCAGATCTTCAGTCTGACGCGCTCCCAGATGCGCCATTGCCCCTGTTCGTTGATTTTTGCATTTCCTTTGACATCAGTAGCACAAGATAGCTACCATCAAGACCGTTGTCTGTGGGTGACCTTCAATTGGTATATGGTTCGGATAAAGGGTTGTCTATGTGGTATCAGTAGTGTTTGCATTCGAGAGTATGAATCTGGAACACCATGGCCATGATCTTCCCTACATTAATTTATATGCATCGCTACTTTGTGTGTAGGGAACATGAGGATTTTGTGTTAGGACAGACCATGGTAGAGTGGATGGGAGGGCACGCCGCCGACTCTCGATATATATATCGGACACGGGCCCACAATCCGTGCACCTTGGACGTCCAACTAGTAAACCAGCTCCCAGTGCTACCCACAGAGCAGACAGCAGCACAGACGCGAGCCATAGAAAGACTGACGACACCTTTCCTAAAGGCAGGGCACAGTGCTATACATGGAAACCACCAGTGAACATACCATAATGTAAGAGTATGGCATATAGACCCGACGACTGAGCAACCGGTGTGTTCAGACCAGGTAACGCAATGCCAACGTGCCCATAAAAAGAAGTCAACCTAGAAAACCACCTGATCCATCGAAAATAGAATAACAGACAGCAAAAAAAAAGCAGAATGGGGCAAGCCGGGCTTGAACCGGCCACCTCCAGATCTTCAGTCTGACGCGCTCCCAGATGCGCCATTGCCCCGTTTCTTGTTTTCTTGGCAGGAGTTAATGTCTCAGAGCCCAAACGCTATGAGGGTCGAGTCCCAGCCCTCCAGGCTGCAAAGGATACGTCCCAATGCTACCAGCCCTGCCTCCACAAAAGGGCTCGTCCATATTGATACACATGCACACCGATCCGTCGAAAGACCCATGACTAAGCCACGCCTCAAACCCCAGGCAGGGCTAATAAGCATAGCCGGTGCCGATGAAAACAGTAACAGATGTCATATAGTGCCCAATTACCCAGAATCACCGCCAGGGAGAGGGCCACTGAACCCGAAAAATGCTCACGGACGGTTGCACTGATCGTGTCAAGGCATACGTCGAGGATTTTGTGTACGGCCCGTGGAGAGGATCTCGTATGAAGATGTCCCCACTGCCATGTGCTTGCCCGAGCAGTTGTAGGCATTGACTCTCATGTGGGCCCGCGTATCAGACATGCACCGAGGTCGCCACCACTAGGAACGAACGACACACCCATGGGCAGGCATGTCCAAGCCGAACCGAACGAACAGCCGAGCCGTCTACGGGCGATGCTTTTTAGTCGCACAAGGATAGTT